GGCAGGAGCAGCAAGGCCGTTCTCGCAGCTCGGTAGCGAGTGGCTGAAGCGATAGTGAGAGCTCAGTGGTGTGGTAATTTAACTGTTGTAGGAAAGTGATCCAGCGATCCCGATTTCTCTTTAAAGTTCAAAATATGCTTTGCTCTGGCTCAAAACGAGTGGACAACCCAAGCAGCAAGAAAAACATCGTTGTCCCATTAATAAAACTTTTCTCCCACTTAACTGAGATTTCCTCTTCTCACAATTGAGCCTCATCGCTGAGTGTAAACCAAAGATAATAAAAATAGCCCTCCCTAGCAGATGTGTGTGCTGGTTTCGAGTCTAATCTCTGTTCTTGCTTATCTAATCTAATCAGTGCATCTTTCTGAAGGTTCTTACAGCATCACTGTGAATACTTCGTATTTCACACAACAAGAGAAAAGGAATGTTTTGTTTAAGTTTCAAAGTTGTTTCTTTGTTGTGTTCTTTAAATTAAAGTATTGAAATGTATTGCTTGCTTTATATCGTACTTCTAAATTCTTCTGAAAAAAGAGTATACCGTTCACAAGTCAGGATGAGCAAAAATTTTCTAAATCATTTTTCTCCTTGTATCCACAGCCCTGTTTGAAGTTTATTACAAACTCCATCATATTCTGAACATGAGCACTTTACTAGTAATAATTTCTGGACTGTGAAATATTTAGAACAAAATAAAGAGCTTGCAAGTAACTTTGCAGTAAATGCAATTATGCTTATATGAAATGGGTTACAGATTTTAATGTAAGGAACTTGTCTGCCTGTGGCAAAATGTATTTGTACGATAGTATTTTTGAACAGGACTTACGGGTTCTATGCTAAATTAAAGGGGTGGAAAATAATTGCTGGGAGAAAGCTGGCTGCCCAAGTCCTGCTTTGAAAGACTCTTCAATGCTTCTTGGATTATGCTTCGGACAGAACCTTAGATTGGCATTTTTTTATTACTGCTTAAATTTAAATGTAATAATAATATTAATGACAATTAAAACATTTACTTATTTGAAAGTTAATGTCCACAGTAAAGTGGATATTTTGACCTTTCCAGTAGAAAGTTGTAAAGTATGTGCTTTACAAAAGTGGTGTAACATGCATCTACCCGGGACTTGGGGAGTGTGGTCTGGGGAGACATGTCCTATATAAAGCTGAATGCTGAGCCTCGCTCTGGGAGGGACTGCCGAACTGATGACCTTTGCCCACACATGCTCCTTTTTTAAACTGTGAGTTTCCCAAATCTTTCCAGCTGGGAGAGGTAGATTTGAGCTATCGCAGCTTGGTTTTGGTAACCTTGCATGCTGAACTGGTACGCTGGGCTGAGATCCCAGCAGCACAATGGGACTACTGCTGCTCTCCAAACAATTGCACAGGATTTTTGCTGCTTCATCGGTTATTGTTCGTGGCATGGGTAATAAGTGAAAACAATGGGTTGGAGTAGAGTAAGGAAACAAACAAAATAACAATGCAAAGACCAAAACAACAACAGCACCCCCCCTCCCCAAGTTTGCATGTTTTTAATAATGTTAATGCGACTGAGAGAAAAGCCAAGGAATTTTAGCCATGTGGGATATGTCACTCTTTATTTCTGCCTCTGAGGCAAAAGCAAAATGCTTAATAGTTTTAGTTTGGAGCAGGGTGTCAACCTCAGTTTACGAACGGTTATTATTTATTTTACAGTAGTGCCCCAAATGTGCCAGCTGCTACATAAAAATACTGGGAAACACATTTGGCCCCTGAGAGTTAGTATGATGTGACCCCTCTTTAAGGTTGTCTGCAGAGTTTGAGCCTAAGGCTTACATGCATTAAAAATGTGTATAAACTGAGCACTTTCCCACTATCTCATCATGTTGTGTCTCCATCACAGGGTAAAATCCTGACATGTACCGTCCTTCATCCCACAGCTTTTTTTCCACGGGAAGAATGGGTGGGTGAGGGGGAGCCATGGCACGCTGGGTCCGGAGGATTAGATGACAAAATCTCTTTGTATGTTGCAGTGCTCATTGGCCACAGAACTTGGGCACAGCAGGACTTAGAGGTATATATTAGAAGCTGGGTTGCTAAATCCAAAAATGCGATACACAGAGCTCTCATCCACACCCATGAATTTTATTTAATTTATAGTTACCTATATAAAAGTGACAGCAAAAGCTTGGTATTGCTGGCATCTTTGTCGGACTGAGCTCAGTGCCTAATTCATACCTGAGGTACTCAGTGGTTCTCTGCAGGGCAAGGCGGGCAAGGCGACAAATGTTCAAATGTCTTTTGATTTTGGACTCATCTTTACATATGCAAGCATATTTTATTTACTTGCTGAATGTTTGGGTGTA